AAGATGTGAATAAGATGTAAAAAAAAATAAAAAAGTAAAAAAGTAAAAAAAAAAGAGGAAGAAGGAAAACTTAAACTAAAAACCCGAAAGAACGGTTTAAGTAACGAAAAGGAAACTTGAAAAAACAGCCTTGATAAGGATCACCAAGAAATAAAGATTATGCTTGAATTGGTGAAAGATTAAAAATATCAATGAAATGAGCTTTTGAAAAAGAATTTAGAATTAATTTATCTAGAATTGTCTGAATATTCATTATCTTAGATGTGTACCATTCCTAATATTTATCCTGATGATTCATCCTGAAATGATTTATTTACCTATTTATTCTTTATCAAACTTATTCTTATAATGAATACCCTTTCTTTGATTTTTCTTATTCTTCACCATTTATTTCTTTTCATGATAAATTAAAGAAATGTGATAGATTACATTTGGTATTAAATTGAAATGATGATGAATGAATAAATTACTATTATGAAAGATCCTTATGTTATTTCAAAGTGATCGAGGTAAATTAAAAATGAAATGTGAAAGATGAAAGAAGTTTAAAATGATGTTGCCCTTGTGGCTTACAAATGAAAAGAAACATTCCAAATGTTGAAATTAAATGATAAAGCTAATGAAGAGAAATTTTGGGTCACAAATCAGTTGATACATTTGCTGATTAGTTTCAAAGAAGTTAAAGAAAAATATGATGACAAGCTGAAAAAAAGACATGAAGAAGAGTCTTTAGATCCCATTGAAAGAAAGAAACTTTGGATTTGAATGATATAATGGATGAGATTACTTGATAATGCATGATAGCTCATGTTGAAAACCACAAGTGCTGATAATTTAAAAATAGTGAGAAGATAAATCAAAAGTTTTGAAAACCCTCTGATTTACCACAATTGAAAAAATAAATGAATTGCTTAGCATACATTGCATTCACCACATACATTATGTTCATGCATCATGCTAAGAATATTGCACTCATTCATGGCATTCATCATGTATATTTGTAAAAGAAAAAAATTTTAAAGTTTGAAATTGGGTTGAAATGTTGAAATTTTGCATTCATTGCATTCATGCATTGTATTTACCACATTCATTACATGTTGCATATATCATCACATTTATTGCACTCATGCACTACATGTTTAGCAAAGAAATATCAAAGTTTAAGTTGTGAAATTAGGCTAGAATTTTGAAAAATCTTTGGCTTATGTATTCATCGTATGCATACATTGTGTTCATCATATTCATCCCATGCATCATGCATATTTAAAAAGAAGAAAAATTAAAGTTTGAATCTTGAAATTGAATTTGAGAATTGTGGAGAATCTTTTCATCCATTGCATGCATTCATTGCATATGTTTGGAAAGCAAAAAGGAAAAACCAGATGAGAAAATAATTTTGAGAAAAGACATTGGAAAGTAATGAATAATGATTCAGATGAGATAAAAAAACTTAATTTAAGGTAATATTTTTGTAAGTTTTAATGTCTTTATTAGGGATGAGCTTTTTCGAAGGTAAGAATGATCTTATTTTATTTTTCAAAAGTTTCAAAGCCTCAGTTGTGGGGGAGCATTTTATTTTTCAAAGTTTTTTAGTTGTGAGGGACATTTTATTTTAAAAGTTTCACAGCCTCAATTGTGGAGGAGTATTTTTCAAAAATTTCAAAGCCTCAATTATGGGGGAGTATTTTAAAAAAAAGTTTCAAAACTCTAAGGCTGAGCCTTTGCAATTTTCTTTTTCGACTTTTTTTAGGTGTCTTTTATCTTTATACAATTTTTGTTTCATAAAAAATGCACAAATAGGGGCAACTGTAGACACTCCATTTTATCCAAAGATTTTTCAAAATTCATTGGGTTTCAATTTTTTATTTTGATTGTGCAATTGAGTTTTAATTGAAAAAGTGAATTTTAGGCCCAATGATTAAGCCCAAATTTTATTTGTATTTTAACTTTTTTAGTTTAATTTTTTAGTTTAATTTTTATTTTGTTTAGTCAAAAGAGTCAAAGTCAATTGGTAAAAAAAATAAACAAAAGGGTAAAAATAAAAAAAGAAAAAAGGATTTTGGAAAATGTGGTTGAATAAAAAAAAGAAAAAAAAGGGATTTTGTTTAATTGAAAAATGTGAAATTTTTCATGAAAAATCTTAGATTCAATTCAACTCTTGAATTCTATCTCGGATTTTAATTTTAAATTGTTAAATAATATTGGAAAGATTTGGGGCTCAATTTATTGAAAAAGGGAAAAATACATAGAGAATAAAATTTGAAAGAAATCCTAAATTCGATTGAATTAATTTTTTCCAAATAAAAAAGGATTTAATCCTTATATAAGGACCTTGAATCTGTAATAAAAAATAGAGCCTAATAGCAATTTACTTCAAGATAAAATAGAGATAATTGAAAAGAGAGAAAATTTGGACAAAGTTTTAAATCAATAAAGAAGAAGCAATTAAGCAAAAAAATTTTGCAAGAAGATCTAGTTGGAGTTTTTAAAAACAAGGCTAAGATTTATAGTATGAATCATTAGTTTTTGAAAGGTAACAAGTTGTTGGAACTCGTGATCCATTGAGGTAATGTTTGTTTTTTTTGTGATTTTTGCATAACTTTTATAATATTTAATTGCTTACTCTTATTTTTATATTTATTGCATGATATTTATTTTTGCATGAATTTGCATGATTAATATTATATTTCCATGATAATTTCTTTGCCTAATATATTTATTTGTGTTATTTATTAATATATTTGCATGATTATTAATATATTTATTTGTATGATTATATTTAATTTGATTGCATGATTATTAATAAATTTAATTGCTTGATTATTAATATATATATTTACATGATTATATATTTAATTGCATGTTTATTTGCATGATTATATATTTAATTGCATATTTTGCATAGTTTATATATATTATTATTTACATGATAGCATGATATATTTATTATTATTTGCATGATTATATATTTAATTACATGTCTATTTGCATTATTATTAATTTATTTATTTCTGTGATTGTATAATTATTAATATATTTATTTGCATGGTTATTTATTTAGTTATTATCATTATTGCATGATTTTATATTTATTACATGATATGATATTGTTTGATTAATATTATATTTGAATGATATTTGATTGCATGTTTCTATATTTATTGTGTGCATAATTGCATGATTATATTTAATTACATAATATATTTGTGTGATTATATTTGATTTCATGATTATATATTTGCATGGTATTTTATATTATTGCATGATAATTGATATATTTGAATCACATTCTTGCATGAATACTTTAGCATAATCCAGGCCTAATATTATTATATGATATTTGGTATGATTTTTAATATATTTGCATGATAATTTTTGTATGATATGATTTAATATTTATTGCATGATTGTTGATATTTTGATAGATTTTTTTTGTATGACCATGTGGTGTAAATAAAAAAAGGGATTGGAATTGTTTGATTTGTATGATAAAATCATCTTTGGTTAAGGTTTAATTTATAGATAATAGATAATTAATTTAGTATCAATTTTAGGTGTAAAGAGGTGCTAATACTTTCTCTGCACATAACCGGCTTTCAAACCTTAGTTTTGATTATGTAAACCAAAACTTATTTTTTTTAGGAATCTTTAGTTTACACTTACAATAATCTTAAAAAAAATAGATTCATACAGGTGATCAATCACATCTAAGTAACAAATATTGATGGCGACTTCATGATTTTTGTATCTAATGGGCAGGTTTTTTAACCTAAACGTTATGATAACTTGAAGTTATTTCTTTTTCCTTGATTTCTAAGCTAATGTATATAATTTAAATTTTGAAAATATTGTATCTTAATGACTTTGAGATGATGTTTCAAATATAGATTTGGGGGCACAGTTGAGACTTCCGTCATAGTCATGCTTTTTCTGAAATAGTTATTCTTACCAAGGTCTTTAGAATTGGGTTTGGGACAACAATTACGTGGTTTGGTGGTATAATGTTGGATTCTTAGTTTTGATAATAAGATTCAATTATGATAACCTCAAATAAAAAAAGGTTTTTAGAGTAACATTTCCCTTTAATGGTAATAGACTTGCTTGGGGCATAGTAGACCCTATTTTTTTTTCAAACATGAAAGTTTAGGATCAAATATCAAAGGATAAGGTTTCGCAGTTTAAGGATTTGAGAGAAGATTTGAAACAACTTCAATTTATGACGAAAAGTTTGTTTCTCACGCTCCAAAGTCCAAATGTGCGAAGCCGGTACACTTTTTTGAAGCAGGCACCCACTGGCCCACTCCCTTCTCTCCCATTGTCTCCTCCAGTCCACCTGTAGCTCTTATGAGTATTATAGAACATTTATATAATCATCTATAAGTTTTCATTATATAAGAATTGCTACTTAGTAATAATGTAAATACCTGGATTAAGGAATCTGATGCAGTGCCATATAGACAACAAAGGTTGTAGAACAAAGTGACAGAAGTGTGGTTTGCTATTTGAAAATTATGATAGTGTATAGATTTAGGTGCACATTCTCCTTTAAATATAGATACTATATTTTCTTTTTCATTTTTTATTTTGCTCAATGACTTACTGATAGAGGATGGCATGTCAAAGCTGCGCAAGGCATATTAAATAGAGAAATTATTTGATACAAGGTTAGTGAAGTTTTTAAACTTCACAAGTAATATTAAGAAATTGACACATATTCTTTTTTAATTAATTTTTTAAATTTTTTAATATATCATAACGGGTATGTATCATCCTACTAACTTTGCTTATGAAGTCTAAGAACTTCAATGTCAGTGTATTTGATGATTTCTCGATTTAAGCCGCTTAATGTTACAATTGTTCTGTTATGCTTGCATCAAACAAACATTAACAATTAAGAAGTTACTGCATATATATCATTCCAAAATAGACAAATATTGTTTGTCTCAATAAATTCTACATGGATGTAGAGGTATTAGTATCCAAAGAAAACAAATCATAGGTAAACCTAAATTAGAGTATAACTGATCCAAAGTGTCTCCAACATCAAATAACAATAACAAGCAACATACCAAAACCATAAACAAAGGCACCTAAGAAATAACATTTTGTTAACCATACTCAATATTGGAGCGCCAGTCTGGAAAACAGAATTCCAGCGACTGTCACCATTGCTAAGAGACCTTGTGTCTTCAATCTTCCGGCATTGATCTGGCCAAACCCCAATCCCATGATGCTTGGTCTTGGTGCCACTGGAACAGTTGGGTTCATCATTGGGTGGAGAAGCTGTGGAAAATTAACAGAGCAAAACTAAAACTTATTGTGACGATTTAATAGCAAATTTAACCAATTTCTGGTCTTTGAGGTCAAAAAGAAAGGCCTTAAAATAATTTGATTACCAGCAACAGAAGAGTTGTGATTTGCTCCTAGAGAAACCTGAGAACCAGATGAACTAGGGGGGGAAGGCACCCCTTGCAAGAACATAATGCAATATTGTCAATTAATAAAATATCTATTAGACTGGAATGAATGTGAGGCATTTGATGGCCATAAAAACAAGAAAAATATAAGGCAGTTAATTCTGAATATCTGAATGGTACCTAAGCAAGCAGAGGTGTTAGCTTGGAGCTTGCAAAAAACAGGCAACTGCATGGCAAGTGTCCTGTTAATAGGAAAAGCACTCAAGGTGGTGTCATTGAGTAAGAGGCAAAGACAACCAGGTTGCAGGCTGTAGAGCTGATTGAGGTTGTTACAGCAGGATTGTGCCAGTCTCTGAGCTGTGCCCTGAACAAATGGCGCACATGGCATCAGTGCTACCAGGCGAGGGCTGCAGTCAGCTGTGGTTGGACCAGGGGTGATAGGGTCCTGAGAAAGGGAAGTGAGAAGAGTGCCAACGAAGAGCAGCGGCATAACAATGGGTGTGAAGGCAATGTGAGAAAGAAAGTGCAAAGCTGCCATGGTGTAATTTCCTTTGTGCAGAACCTAGGGTTCACTAGGAAACTAGTTAAGATGTAAATGCATCGTTTGAGTGTGAGTAGTTACATGCAGGGTATGTGTTATTCTAACATGCAAATTCTGTTCTCACCCTATGGGTCGTAACTGTAATTCTGATGCGCTCAAAGTATGACTCCTCTGTTTAGAATTCCATGCTCTTTTTATTTGGTCTAAAAGAATCGCACGATTTGGAAAATTTAGATGAATTCATATACCAAGTACAGTAAAAATCTTCTTATTCCAACTATATAAATTTTTAATCAATTTGGAAATCCAATTGATCGCTTACATTCAGCTTATAAGTTATTATTAATTTGGTCTAAACAATTTAAACTGATGCATTAATTTTCTTTTTCTTGGCAATTATTTTATCCATTAATTGTTAATTAGATTTAGGCAATATCAAGAAATAATAATAAAAAAAAAACTAGCCATTGTGTCAAATGCCTTGTGGTATGTGATATTATATGTTAATTATCTTGGAATTTATTAAATAATTTTTATTTAATAAATTTTGCTTAAAATTTTATTATCAAAATCTCTTTGATAATTTATTATTAATTTTTTAAAGTGTACTCATGTTTTAGTAGTAAAAAAGTTACTTAGTTTAAATTTGAATTTGATCCCAAATTTTTGGCTTGTTTATTATACCCAAAGTCTAACGCAAATCAAAACTTGGATGTGTTGGAGATCAATGCTTACCACTCTTCAATTTTGATTGCTTTATTTTTTTTTTTTTCAAATCGATTTAAGCAAATTTGTTTTATCATGCAAGTGTGAAAAAAACAAGACCATTCTTGTTTGGCCTTGGCCCTAGAGCTTTATTGATAATCATAACAAAACAAAGAAGTGTAAAGGACCTATGATCTTTTATTAGAATTTAATAAGAGTTTTATCTTCGAATGTAACATTGACACCATCATTGATCCACACCACAGCACCTAGGCCTTCGAACCTTATTCCTTAACTACCCAAAACACAAATCCCCTTCTCGCAACCCATTAATGGTAGTTTGTGGCCAAATATTCTCCCTGTAACTTCCATTATACACGTCTCATTCCCAATGCCATAGATCTCAATATATTAATCCTGGATGCAAACAACCCTAGACTTTTATCAAGCCGTCATGGCTCAAATACAATTGTTAAACACCCAGGTGGCCATTTAGCAAAGATTACTCTAATAGTACCAACAGGCTACATAACAACCTTTCCAAGAAAAACCTTATCCCAGAAAAAGCTCATCATTTTTCTTCAGGGAACCACCACCACCTTAAAATTTAACTCACCCTAAAGAAACCTACCTACAAACTGTACATGATAGCGCCCACCATCATGATCATACTATACAAAACCCAACACTAGACCTAACGCATGCAAACCCTAACCCAAAAAATTAGATTGCCATGTAAGTTATTGCTTTGTGCAAGGAGTTAGCTAACTTGACAAAAAAGAAAAATAAGGATCTTCAGTGGCTTGAGGATGATCACAACCCTCTTACCTTTATTATCATATAAGCTGACATCCCATTTTCCCTAAAATTACCAAAAGACACCTACAATAAGACCATTGACCCAAAAGATCACTTGAACCACTTTAAAACTTTTATAGACTTGCACAATGCCTTTGATACAATAAAATACTGATTTTTTCCCACTACCTCGTGTGGAAGAGCCATGATATGGTTCTATTATATGGCCTCTATCACTATAAGCAGTTTCGATGCCCTTAGTATGCAATTCTTGGCATATTTCTTATGCAATAAAGCTGTTGTACATTTTTCTTTGCAAGCTTGTTGGTCATAAAGTAGAAACTTGAAGAGACTTTACAACAGTACTTAAAAATGTTAGTATAACCACTTTAGAGATCAAGGATTTTAACGTTTAGCAGGCCATTTAGGCCTTTACCTCTGGGGTGAAGCATGGCCATCTGAGGTACTCATTGATAGAAAATAATCCAGAATATCTGTACCAATAATTCAAAAGGGCCTAGAAGTTTGTTGAGGTCAAAGAGATTAAAGCTATTAAAAAGGTCAAAAGATGTGAATAATATCAAGAATGTTTGCAAGGAAAGAATAAGCTGACTGATATATTGAGCCAATGATTTCATGATAACTATCAAGCCCACAGCTAATAAGGAAAAAGAGACTGACACAACAACAATAACAATAACAACAATAACAAAAACCTTTAAACATAATCTAATCAACACCAAAACCAAAATAAAACCCTAAATGCCATAATAACCAGCCCAATGTCCTACCTAAAGAAATAATTAAGCAAGACCTCTACCCAGACATCCGAAAAACCAACCCTTACCAAAGAGACATTGCATTTACCATGAAATTGAGAGGTATTCCATTGATGAGTACATAGCTTTCCAAAAAGAAATTGAAAGGTTGAAAAGCATGATAAACACCCAACCAACCCTTGAAGTGACAAACCCCAACTTATCAAAATCGTGAAGCATCTAGCCACTAGTATGGTGAGAGCCTATCCTACCAAACGAAGAAGGCTCATCAGGAGAAAGCTGTGAGCAAATGCCCAATTTAAGGTATTATTCATGTCATCGTAGGGGCCCATTGAAGATTGGATGAATAGTAAATCCAAGCACAAGTCACATTTTACACAGTGTAATGGCCATTGACATTGCACTTAAGAAACAAAAAGTTAAGGACTGGCAAGTGCAATTCTCAAAAGATGATACTGACATCTTGGTTGATAATGGTAATAACCCTATAGTGGTCACAACAATGATAGCCAACTACTAAATGCAGCAAATACTAGTTGATAGTGGTAGTACGGTTGATTTAGTTTAGTATCAAACTTTCAAACAGATAAAGTTTACAAATGGAGATTTGAGGTTGTTAAGGCCTATCTTTGGGTTTACTAATCAACCTATTGCAAAAATGGGGTCTATTACTTAACCAGTTATGATGGGGGATGGTGAGCACATATTGACAACAATGGCAAACTTTTTGGTGCTCTATCAACCTTCTACTTACAACATCATTTTTTATAAGCCATTGATGAAAAAGGCTAAGAGGATGATTATCATTTATTAGTTAAAGGTTAAATTTTTTACAGCTATTAGAATAGGATATATGAAAATGAATTAGGTAATAGCTTGCCAATACCACTTTTTGAGCCTACAACTAACCTAAAAAAAAGATCAAACCACCAACTAACCTTTCATCTTTACCCATAAAGACCTCAAAACACACATCTCTTTATCTATCCATATCATAAAAGCATCATTGGCCCAAACTTTGAGTATTGATAGCTTGGATGCACGAGATGAAACTAGAGAATACAAGGCTTGCACTATTGAGCAAACTATACCAGTCCAACTTTACCCTTCGAACCCAAACATTATCACTCAAATGGGTTTTTTGCTAAATGCTAAGGCAAGGGTATGCTGCATAGATTCTTGTACAAGAATGCTGATTTTTTATGTGGTTTGTAGTAGACATCACTGGCATTAATGAGCATGTTTTCGCACATCACTTGAATGTAGATGTAGTTACAAAACTGGTTAAATAGAAAAAAAAAAGTTTACCCATAAATGAATCTAAGTAGTTAGAGAAGAAGATGATAAGTTATTGACAGTTGGATGTATTAAGGAAGCTAAATACCTTGACTAACTTGGTAATGTAGTTTTGGTGAATAAGGCTAATAATAAATGAAGAATATTATAGACTTCATTGATCTAAATAAGACTTGCCTAAAGGATAGTTTTCATTTACCTTCAGTTGACAGATTAGTGGACTCTCTTATGGGCCATAAGTATTTGAGTTTCATGGATACATTCTCGGGGTATAATAAAATTAAGTTAGCAAGGATAGATTAGGAGAAAACATCCTTCATCACTGAGGATGGTTTATTTTGCTACACAGTGATGCTTTTGGATTGAAAAACACAAAGGGCCACCAACTAGAGACTAGTGAATAAGATTTTTAAGAAATAGATTAGTCGATCTTTAGAGGTATATGTGGATGATATGTTGGTTAAAAGTCCTCCGTTGGAACAACATATTTGAGATTTAGCAGAAGCCTTTACCATTTTAAAAAAGTAACATGAAGTTGAATCCTACCTAGTGTACATTTGGTATGGAGGTAAGAAAGTTTTTAGGTTTCATAGTTTCTAACAGAGGTATAAAGGCAAACCCCGAGAAGGTGACAGCCATCTTGGGCTTAAACCTTTCAAAAATTACTAAGAAAATGTAGAGATTGACAGGGCAAGTGGCAGCTCTTAATAGATTTGTGTCCAAGCTAATAGATAATTGTTTGCCATACTATAAGGTTTTTTGAAGCATAACAAGATTTAAATGGGATGAGCAATGTCAAAAACCTTTGAAAAACTTAAGCAGTATCTTCACTCATCACCTTTGCTTACTAGCCTTGTTCTTGGTAAGCTTTTATATGTATACCTGATAGCTTTTTAATGAAATAGTGGCAATAATGCTAGTGAAAGAAGCCAATGGGAGCCAAATACTAGTGTATTACTCCAGTAGGGCTTTATAGAATAAGGAGGTTAATTACACAAGGTTAAAAAAGATAGCTTTTGTACTGGTCATAGTAGCTTACCAATTAAGGTCGTATTTCAAAGCATACATCATAATTATGCTAATAGACCAATTGCTTAAAGAAGTTCTGCACAAAACATAAACATTTTAGGGAAAATGATGAAGTGAAGTGTTGAGCTTAGTGAATTCCACATTATATAAAACCAAGGAAGGCCATCAAGGCCTAGGCTTTAACAAACTTCCTTATGAAGTGTTCTTTCACACATGAGGTAGGAACTTAATAGTAAAATATTATAAAATCTCTCCAGTCTCAAACTCAACCCTTACCCATAAATTCAAAATCTCAAATCCAATAAACCCAAATAGAACAACAAAAAATAGTAGAGATAGATCAATCAATTAAGTCTCCACTCCATCCTTAGATTATCTAATGTCCTCCTGTGGCGGGTTCTCTACCAGAGTACACATGGTTGTT